TACCAATGGATCCACACCGAAACGATAACTCATCTACTTTTTAATCACATTCTCAACGCAATTCTCAGCAACATTTAATTGACCGCATCAGTTACGCTTTCCACAACCGTTCATTATTTTTAGAGATGATAGCAAAGTTCCTGGAAAGGAGACAAATTTGTGATAGGTTAGCTAAGGAAATACTCCAGGGCTGCTAACAACAGTATACTTCAATGGAGCCTCAACCCAATCTGCACCTAGATTGCAGGATTAGGTTGGATTGCACAACTCATCTTTAGAAATTATTAACTATTTGTATAGGTCTTTGAGCTTATTTGGTTGGCTTTTCATGAGTATGCGACGCGATCCTGCAATGCTTTTGATGTATTTCCATTCATTGATTAACGGTATCGAACGTATAGCTACTCATGATTGTGTTAGTTGTAAGCACCCTCAGTATATCTCCGTCTATTCAAAGATAGAATCATTCCGCCTAAATGGCACTAGGAACGCGGAATGTGCACAGCGATAAGATCGAAAGGGGAAGTAAATCATCTCCGAAAAGAAGCCTAAATTTACAAGAGATATTCAAAATATACTCAGAGTTTTAAAAAAAGTTCAGTCTAAAGTTTAGGTAGGGATTGGCAGCGTTTGTCACCGTGTCGACCACGTTAGGTGGCGACAGAGGAGTGAATCGCACCTCAGAGCACAGGGAAAGCTAGGCAAAAAATCAGAACAAAGAAGCAACATATGCGAGGTCTCTTAAAATATCAACTTTCAGTTCTGCTACACCCTCCAGCACGCTGAAGGAGCACAGCTTTGTTTTCACTGGGGGAGAGTAGTATCGTGGCACTTCTCTGATGATATGCATCGCGGTTGAATGTAGTGAGCGTAAAGAGAAGGCAGCCAAGTCCTCAATCAATTTGACAGTTTACTCTTGGCGCTTGAAGCACCTAGGCTAGGCCTCCTTCATAATTGCACATTCCTTCATCAAAACCGTTTTTTTTTTTTTGTATTGTCATTGTCAAATTTTGATGCTCAACATGACTGCCCTATATACGTTTGCAGAAACATCTCGAATGACATTTTTCTTTGCTACTAAATAAATTTACTTGCATTGCAAAAAGTACAATAGAACAAACGAGCCGTAATTTGAGGAAAAGGTACTGTGGGCCCTGATCCAAGGTGATATATTTCCTAATCCTGAGAAAGTAGTACTCAAATAAGAACAAAACCAAATTTGTACAATACGAAATGCATTGCAAATAGTTGTCTGGAAGAACCCCTCCCACTAAACTATCCTGCTGCAACAACCATGATTAGAATCCTTCCTTCCCTTCAGGCCACGCTTGCATCAGATCTGACCGAGCCAAACTTTGCACCCCTCTGCCCTCTGTCGCATCTGAGAGTCTATCTCCACATGACCGCGCCTCGCGTGGGGGCCCACCTGGGGAGCTTCCTCCTATCCGATGAAGCGGATGTTGGTGAAGACGGAGGAGGCGGGCCGCTTCCGGTTGCAGAACTGGATGGTGCGGCCGAGGTCGCCCTCCTTGGCGCGGTGCAGCCCGACCAGCAGCTGGATCACGTCCTCGCGCGACGGGTTGCACATGTTGTACTGGTCCGGGTCGTACGAGCCGCGCGTGCGGGTGACGCGCTTCCACGGGTAGCGGCGGTAGTAGCGGCTGCGCTTGTGGACCTGGCTGAACAGGTCGTCGTACTCGTCCGGGTTGGGCCCGGGGCCCGGCTGGCTGACTCGGCCCTCATCCTCGTCCTGGGACGCGGGCTCGATGAACACGAGCGGCGGCTTGTTGTTCTTCCAGGGGTCCTTGCGCACCAGGTCCACCAGCGCCTCCGTCACCTCTCGCAGCTGCGAGGACGGCATGTCGGCCAGGTAGCCGTCGACACCTGTAAGAGGGGGGCAAGCGCGAGAGTCATGAGAAGTACAGTAACACCGAGGTCGAGGGTATGGATGTTTGGTGCCGACGAGTGCATCGATCGCAGGGAAAGAACTGAAAAGACTGAGGACAAACAAGGAAAACATGGCAATCATAGGTACAAATACTGACATGGAAACCATATCGGGAAAGTGGCAGACCAAGGAAAACCTGTCAAAGGTCAACTAGAAAAGCAAAGAAACCGCAGCAATAAATCGGACAAAACCCAGGAAAAACCGAGACAAATGAAGTATGATTCGGGAACCCCTTGCGAAACTTAACCATGTCGAGGATAGTTAGGAAGGATGACCGGGGAGCCGGAAACAACACCAGCGAACGCGGTCATATCGGAAGTGCGTCCTCGCCAGGCCAAAACCACGGGGTCAGGTGGCCTCGGCCGGTGGGCCTGTCCTTCATCACTGCGGGATTATTTGCCGAACGTGCCTCGGACTGACCCGACGCGGGCGAGCGCGCCCCCAAGGGCCATAGTGCGGCAGCACAACACGACCGACGACTGTGCGCGGGCAGCGGCCCCGGCCACCTCGGCAAAGCCAGGCAAAGCCGCATAGCCCCGAGGAGTCGGTGGCTTCGGCTTGCTCCTCGCGGTGGGCACTGCTGTCCCGTCGAGAGATAGCAGCAGCAGCAGCAACAGCAGCAGCAGCAGCATCATCATCATCATCATCAGCAGCAGCAGCAGCAGCAGCAGCAGCAGCAGCAGCAGCAGCAGCAGCACCAGCAGCAGCAGCAGCAGCAGCAGCACCAGCAGCAGCACCACCAGCAGCAGCAGCAGCAGCAGCACCAGCACCAGCAGCAGCAGCAGCAGCGGTGTTGCTTACCGTTCTGGCTGGGGACCTCGGCGTTCTCCTGGACCGCCGGGACGGGCGAGCTGCCGGCCGGGCCGGGGGCGGCCAGGACCGCCACGACGACGAGCACCACGGCCAGCTGGGCCGCGCGCTCCATGCTGGCGAGCCTGCCGGAGAGAAGAAACCCGAGCGTGAAACATTGTGCAATATACACTGCGAAAAGTTTGTCGTACCGGATGCAGAGGAAAATTTGCCATGGAATATGTACTATTATACAATTAAAAGTTGTAAATTTACAAGCACTGCGCATGGGCTTGGAATCGAATGACAAGCAAGAGTGGTCAGTTGAACATGTACACATTTTGTAATTGGTGAATCGCATAATATATCGTACAGGTACAGGTACATCACAGTGAAGGGGTAGAAAAATTTTGGGGCGGTAGTATTTAACCCCCTCCCCCCTCCTATCTGGCTGTAGTGTAGTCTGCGCGTGGGCGGCGGGTACCCCCTGTCGCCCGTCTCCCCCTCGCTCGCACTTCACTTACCCACCCCCCGGGCGGGTAGGGCCCAAGTCGGAGCAGCGCTCCGCTGTGAGCTCAGCTCCGCCCACCTCAACACACCACACCAGACCAGACCAG